GCGCTCTGCTACGCCCTGCTGTTGGTGCGCGTAGGGGAGAGAGATGTGGTGTTCGATTCCTTTCTGCGCGAGGTAATCCTGCAGCTCCTTGCTCCTGAACTCCGCTGCGCCGTCGGACTGCCAGATCTTCAATCTCTCCCTAGATTGCCGCTGCGCGTGCGCCAGCCACAAGCGGAATGCCTCGTATGCCCTGCTGCGTGCTTCCACGTTTACGACCCACACGTGGCGTGTTCCAGCATCGACGAAGGTGAGCGTGTAGAGCTCGTCGTTGATGCCGCAATGTCCTACGTTGAGAAAGTCACTGTAAACTTTCTCCAACTTGGCGTAGCGATTGGTTCCTGACTCGAGCAAGGGGAAGGGCTGGTGACTCAGCGCGCCCTCGGGGCAGATGGTGCAGGTGCGCGGGTGAGTTCCGCCTCTTAATTCGGAGCCGTCAGGGCGCAGCAGTGCGCCAGGTGCGAAGACGCCGGCGTCGATGCAGTTCTTCAGGGTCACGCGCAAGGGGTGACCTAAGCGCTGGTGCCAGATGGCGTCGTCAGCGCGGAATCCGGAGGTGCGCATGTGTTAGAACTAGCAGTAGAAAGTAAGAATGAAGAAAGGAGGAGGTTCACTAGCAAGCAGTTGAGTACATATAGGAAACCCTAGATTGGGCTGTACTCGCTATAGAGTACCCCACTGCAGGCTAGACAAATACAACATTCTGACACACCCCCATAGCCAAAGTGGGGTGTAATCAGCACAATGAGCAGGTATAGCAGGAGTTCACAATAAGAAGCAAAGCTAGAGGTAATCACAGCGGGCAAGTGAGGAGGAGGAGGGACTGTGAGAGGAGAGAAGATGAGAGACGGCGGCTGAAGCTGCAGACACACGGGCAACAGGAGCTGCTGGCACAGTGGCTACCGGGACAGTGCGCCCCGGACTACTGGAGTAACTGGCTCACGGGCTACGACGAGCTACAGGAGCAACGGACCCTCGGGCGACAGGCGCAGCAGACTCTCTGGGCTACCAGGACAGTGCGCCCCGGACTACAGGTGCTGCGGACGACAAGACAGCAGCCTCCGCTCAACCTCCTCCAACTGTCCCACACACCCCCCACACACCCACTGCTTCACTCCTAACTCCACTTGCACGTCACCCCCCTAGTACCACTCCTTCGGCTCCCACACACCCACCCCCCTCAGCGGCAGCTGCAGCACTGGGAGACGGAGGAGGAGGAGGAGTAGGGGACGACGCACAGAAACTGCACCCCCATACCCCCCACCCCCAAACCCTAATTCAGGAGAACGGGCAGCAGCAGGGGTGGGGCGCCGTCAGAAGCACGGGGGACAGCGGGCAGCGCAGGGGCAGAGAAAACAGGGCGCCCACGGGCCTGGCGCAGCCCGTACGAATGGGTTTTTCAATGGTGTCCCAGGGGTCACTTTCTGAAGGGATGTCATGTGGCGGTGGTGCTAGTGCAGGGCGGCGCGGAGGGCGTCCAAGAGGAACAACAGGAGGTTCGACCTCAACTTGCGCTGTTTGTTCTTCCTCTTCCCCCCTTTGATCCTCGCGGAAGGCTCCCCAGCCGCTCGTCTCTCCGCCAGATGCTGCGCCCCATCCGCCAGTAATGCCGCCGGTTGCGGCTCCCCAGCCGCCTGTGTCACCGCCGGTTGCGGCTCCCCAGCCGCCTGTGTCACTTGTTCCCCACCCGCCAGCGCTCCCCCACCCCCCTTCATTGGAGGCGCTCTCTTCGTCGCCCCATCCGCTCCAGGCGAATGTTCCGCGTGACTCTGCAAGGCTTCGTCGGCGAAGTTCTTCCGCTTCGCGGCGCGCCAGATCCTCCTCTTGTGCGACGGTGAGTTTCGTCGCATTGCGCTGATGAGAGTAGACCTCCATGAATTTCTCCTGTGTGTAGGGCCGCGGATTTCCTTCCGCGTCGAAGGTTCCGACGCCAACGCCGCGCAGCATTCCGCGCAGGTGTTGAGTTGCAGGTCCTGGGAGGGGAGCTTCCTCCGTTCTGAAGACGATGCGCGTGGCCGTCTCGAGCTCCAGGTGAGACAGCCCTTCTTCAGGCGGCGCTTCCCGCTCTGCTTCGGCAATGGCGGCAAGGCCACGGCCGGCGATCGCGCTCGTCGAGGCTATGGGCGTATGACAATCTCTGCAGATGCCGTCGGTGTCTGGGTCATGCAGCGCTGTTTCGCGCGGGTGTGGGTGGTGCGGCACCCATGGGCGCCCATCAGGGTGCTTCCAGTCACGGTGGTGCATGTGTTCGAAACGCAGAGGAACAAGGCCGATGAGTTCCTGCGAGTCACCGCTGCAGTCGGGAATATCGAAGTCGAGAACGTACACTCCGTTCTCGGCGTGTGCTCGTCCGACCTGCTTGCGCGTTTTGTTCGGCATCGTGAAGTGGAGCAGGATGTCGCGCGTCTCGGGGTCGGTGCTGAGGACGACTCCGCAATCCAGGAGTTGCGCCGCCGAGAGCAGGTTGAAGCGCAGGTTCTGCACAATCAGCACGTCATTCAAGGTGATGTGCGTCCTGCTTCCATGTGCCTTGAGCACGACGATGCCTTGCGCGTTTGCGCGCAGCCGCGTGTTGTTTGCCACGGTGACGTAGGTGACGGCGGGGGTGGCGACGGCGTTGGATATGTAACGCTCGTAGCCCACCATGTGCTGCCCACAGCAGCTATCCAGGTACCACGTGTTGTAGTACCTGTTGTCGTTACGCGCGAGTAGTGCCAGTCGCGGAGTAACGATGTGCGGTGTGTCGACCTTGAGAAATTGTTCGCGCGCGATCCAATCGATCGGTGCCGGCCGCGTGTCTGGTACGTGCGGGGGGCTCTCAAGCAGCGGGACTGGGAGATTCCAGTCCTGTTTGTCATCGTCGCTGAAGTCGTGACGCGTGCTGAACGGATTGTTGTTCGAGAACGCTCCGATTGGGTTAGGCGCTGGCTCGGGTGATGGTGAGCGTGCGCGCGGGCGACGAGATCCGCTCGTCATGGTCATGTTTCCCATGACATTGCGGACGGGGGCAGCCTGTGATGGCTGCTGCTGCTGCTGCTGAACTGTCTGGTTCAGGTTGCGCGATGGGGGTTGATACCCCTGGGAGGGACGCGTGTCGTTCCTCGCGTCTTGTCGGCCGGACCAGTTGCTCGGATTGGTCTGACGAGGGCGAGATCGATGCTTGCATCGGTCCGCCAGGTGCCCGAAATTCCTGCAGATTTTGCAGTAGAGGCGCCGTGGCCGTCGCTCTTCTGTGTTCTCGGCGTAGAAGGCGAGGCGTTCCCTATCTCGTCGTGGCGCTGGTCGCTGCTGATCCATATCCCGTTGTTCGACGAGGAGGGCGGCGCAAAGGGCGGCCTCCGAGATGACCCCCTGTTGTCGGAGAAGCGCCTTGCAGGGCCGCCACTCGGGGCCGAGCCCTTGGAGCACGATATTTACGAAGATTTCCTCAGAAATCGTGCTCCCCAGTTTCGCGATTTGGACGCGTAGGCTCCGACAGCGATTCAGGTAACTGTTGACCTTCTCTCCTGGTGACATTTTGGTCTCCAGTAGCTGCTGGAGTAGACGGCTCGACGACACCGAGTCCTTCGGTTGATACACACCATTCAGGTGGCGCCATGCGTTGAGGGCTGGAGAAGGCGAGGTTTTGTATGAGCGAATGCTCAATTGCTCCGTCGGCGACATATTTCGAAGAAGAACCCCGTACGCCATCAGAGACTCGTTGTAGTACTTGATTTTTGCGTCGTCAGTTTCCTCCGTGGGTCCCGAGTAGCTCCCGTCAAAGTAGTGGAAAATCTGCGCGTTTTGCAGCAGCAGCTCCAGCTCGAAGCTCCAGGTATAGAAGTCTCTGCCGTCAAAGCACACACTTGTCTTTATTTTTGATATGCTCAAAAACCTTGATTGCGCAGAGAGAATTGCTTCATCGCTGGGACAGGGAGTCTTGGGTGTTGAGCCGTTTGTGTCAAGAGAGAAGCCTCGCGGGGCGGAGTTCTGGCCGTTCGAGGCCGGTTGGGTGGGTTGGGAAGATGTTCCCGCATCGCCATTCCGCAATGTTTGGAGCCCTTGCTCCAGGCTCGTGAGTCGCTGAAGCAGTTGTGCGAGGACGACGGAAGGGATTGTCGTCGTTTCCTCGTTTGTCGCAGCTGGATTAGTCTGCGCTTCAGCCGTCAGATTCGTCTGACCTCCAGATCCTCCGGCCATTCTCACACGTGAGCGTGTGCCGGACGCCACTTTCCGTTCGCCGAAGATTTCGGTGGTGGCAGTGCGAAGGATTCCTGAGTCGCTCTCATACCATGTTGCGATCAGAAGTTGATCAACCTCAGGATCACCTTAGGAAGGTTCGCACAGTCCTAATCTAGTGGTGGTGGGCCCTTGACCTCAATAGCAGAGTGAATGTAAATGCTTGAGATAATAAAAACATGCAGTACAAGGGATATAAATAAGACTACAAGGGGATACCAATCGACCTAGCTAGCCATGTACTCTAAGGGGTACATTCCCTTATTGCAGCGAAATCCAACCGTGCGACTCCTGACAGTTACGAAACTGTTCGGGCAGAATCCTCGCCACTGCTGCTGCCTGATGCTGTCTGCCCGACGGTCCAGATCCTTTCGTAACCGTGTGACTCTTCCTGTCACTTCCGCCTGTTCGTCTTCGTTCTCTGTAATACGTGCTTCGATTGATGCGGTGAGGAGTGTACAATAGTGTTTCAATAGTCACTATTCGTAACAGTAACCCTGAAAATTCAGGCTTATTTTCCTACGAAGGCTGTCAATCAGCCTTTTTTCTCACATGGACACTGATGGGTCAGGGTACTTAAAATTGAATCTGAGGCCCTCGTGTCAGGACTCAGTGGAGACGTCACGAAGCTGCATTGATTCAATTACTTTCAGAATAGCTTGTTTGTCTTCCTCGAACGAGGAAATTTCTGCAAATGGAAAATGAGAAACGGGACTTGAGAAACGAGCGGGAAAAGAGCTCCTGTGCAGCGCATGCGTTGTGGACGGAAAATCCCAAAGATATACCTGCTTCTGTTCCTTTCTCAAGTGTCAGGGCTGGCAGGAAACGAAGCAGCTTATCTTTGTTCTTAAGAAGGATCAGCTGAACATCTTGTGGCTGCTTCAGGTTGGCCACAATCACCTAAAAAAGCAAAGTGGGTGGATGAGTGTTACAATCAAGGTATCGAGATTGAAATAGCACCTCTTTGGTATGACATTTGACACTACACACCTTGAAGATGTGAAACGCATCAACTTGAATCACTTTACTTGTATCCTGGAATAAAAAAGAGGGAAAAGCTTCATACATCAAATAAATGGCCGCAATGGAAAAAGATGCAAGCCAATCGAGCCACCGATTACCCTCAGGAGGTTCATGGATACAATCAGGTTGTTGACATCACTCGCAAATCTCAAGGTCACCATGACATAGGCACGATCCAGAAGCATGTCTGCCAAAAGCTGTAAAACAGACGAATAGTAGGAATAAGTTGGCTCCAAAAGAATTACCAGGTTGTAGTGAAGAAAGGGATAGACAGCAACAGGCACAAGAGAGACAGGAAGAGTTGCAGAGGATAAAATGACATCAAACGAGGTGAAAGACGAGACGAAATTAACCTTGGTTGCAACACGCCTCGTAATGTAGGAAGATGACTGCAACAACTTGGTGTACGCTTCAAAAAACTGCAACAGGAAAGCATGAGATGGCTTTAGTCCAAGTCATTAAGGCATAACGTAGAGCAGGCTTGATTCCAGCATTCAATCATTTGCCTTGGCATAATTCCTCAATACAAAATCAGCTGCTGTGGCCTTGTGTCGCATCAAGAGCTCCTGCGAACACAAAATACTCAAGATGCTCAGTCAGTCAGAGGTGCGTGAGAAAAGGAGAGAATAACCAGTGATAAACAAGGATGTACCCTAAATGTTGCAGCAGCATCAGAAGAAACTTCAAAACTTGGTAGTTCGACATGGTGGAAGAACTTGAAAAAGTCTTTGCTCTCCAAGACGTACCTGCAACGAAAAAACTCAGTCACTATCAAGCAGAGGCAATGCCACTAACGGAACAACCGCACGCTTCAACCTGATGCATACTTTGCAACCGATTGGTGGCGAATGCATTCCCGAAGTATCAAGCCGTAGTAGAGTGCCAGAACTGGATCCTCGTATCTGCATCAAAATGAGTACATTATGTGAGCCCTCCACCAGCACTGTCTTGATGCCGATTCGACCATACCCTTTTATGAGAAGGTCCACAAGGTCCGTGTGTTGCATAAGGTACTCGCCCGCAACCATGCGATTTTGAATTTGCCTCTTTTGCAGGCTCGCATTGATATGCACCGCATACCGTTTTGACTGCACACAATAAATGCCAACTATCAATACAACTCTCAGCACCTCATATTCACAGGACAGGCGAATAAGCACACCAACGGCAACACTTACATCAAGAGACAGGGAACCAATGTTCCTAATGAGAAGTTCCAAGAAATTCCCCTTAAACACCTCTGCTCCCACGAGAGTCACAGCGTCTGCGTTCGGGAACGTCTCAGTATCCCCGTACAACACTATACGAATATCATACAAATGCTTCTCCAGGTCTTCGACGATCTGAAATTTCAAGAAAGCAAAGAATCTAAGATGGCAATCGTAATGACATTCACAAGCTCATGAGAGCTCTGCATACCTTCGCAGTTTTTTTGGCATCTTCGGAGCTTCGCAGTAACGTCAGCAGCTCAACGGTCGACTTCACAAGATCGGCAGGCGACTTCGGCTTGCTCGACTTAAAAATGTTCCTCATACTCGGTGTTGCTAGAAATTTCGACATCTTCAGACAGATTCGCTTCTCAAGGTCAAATCACTAACGCCAGTCAAATGGGCTTTCGCAGATAAATGACTTGTCGGCGGAACGCACGGTCCAGGCCAATGCAGCCTAAACGCATTCTATATGTCAGGAGAAAACACAGTGGTCCATGAGACTAAGCGCAGACAGCTCCATTGACAACCTAAAGAGCTGGCCACCAAGAGGAAAGCACATCAGATATGGGCTAAGTCCCTCTTCACATTGAACACATCTCTTTAGAATACCTTTGAAACATCCATTGAAGAGACCCCAATTGCCTACACCCATCCTCACGATGGGGGTTTCTGGTTACAGGGGGGTTTACTGTTCATTCTGAACAGTACTTCCCAACCTTATCATCACCTTATCTTCACAGAATTCCTAGTGCAACGTAGCACTCTAGTTTCCTTGCCTTCTACTTTCTAGTCCCACGAGTACTTTCAACCTATCATACTTTCCAACTATCCCTCTTGCATGCTATGTAATGCTTGTTTGCTTGTTTGCAAATAATTCTTTCACCAAAGTCTTCCGCCACGTTTTATCCTCGATTTAGTCGACCCCGCTATTCTTTAGCGGATTTAGGCCAAGGGGCCTAACACTTGGTATCAAGAGCCTTCGCGGGGAGCGACTTCCAACGAGCGACCGTCGACGACGAGACTACTACGCTGTCATCGCCCTGCGGTGCCGACTTGCAGACTTGAAGTCATGGAGCCGACATGGATGAAACCATTCTCAGAATATGAGCACAACGGAATGCAATGGTTTGGATACAAATATGAACCTTAACTGAGTTGTACTTTTTAGGGAGTACCCTACTGCAGCCTATAAGAAATATAGCATTGACACACCCCCATAAGCTAAGTGAAGGGGCATCTAGAGACTAGCATGGGAAAAAACGGTCATAAGACCAGTCAAGAGCAAGCAACAAAAAAAGCTCAAGGTGTCGCTCAGAGTCACCACACACTCCGAGCATAAACAAGAAGCCGCAAGGCCAGTTCAAGAGTTCACTAGGATATATAGATGCAAAACAAGCAGAGCAAACAACAAGGCTACAGCAACCGAGGGCCTCAACAAGCCTTAGCTGCACACAGAACCTGTGGTGGTCACCAGGTGCCAAGGCCTTGGTGAAGACGTCGGCGGTGTTGGCCTCTGAGGCCACAAAGTCCAAGCGTGCCTGGCCGCGTCGCTTCAACTTTCGCAGGAGAAAGTACCTCGTGTTAATGTGCTTCACTATGCTCTCTAGTCGAGGCTCTCGACACAGAAAGATCATGACCTTATTGTCAGCTAACAAGATCGCTGCGGAGCGAGGCCGCTCACCAAGGTCGGTGAGCAAGAAGGTCAACCAGCGAAACTCCTGCGCAGCCATAACAACAGCGTAGATCTCTGCCTCTGCACTGGACGAAGCCACAGACGACGACTGTGTAGACCTCCACGACACAGCACTTGCACAAAAAATGAAGCAGTAACCCTGAGTCAAGCGCTAAGTCTCCACGTCGTCGGCGTAGGAGGAGTCGCAGTGACCAGTCAACAGAACTGGTTGAGTCCCTCCAAGTACAAGCCCCATGCCTGATGTAATCGCCAGGTACTTCGCCACCCTCACGGCAGCCGTCCAGTGAACTAGACGGTATCACCGAGTCGCAACAAAGCGAGAGAGGACGCTGAGGGGAAAGGCGAGGTCCGGTCGAGTGCGAGTCATCAGGTACATGAGGCAGCCCACAAGCTCTGAGTAGGGACCACTGGACTCAAAGGCTCGTCGGAAAAAGGGCCAGTGAGTCGGTGGTCAACGGCAAGAGGAGTGGGCTGTGTGGTGGAGAACTGAAACTCGAACCGTCGAAGGACCTGCTGCACCATGTTTAACTGAGTCAGTGTGATGGTGCGAGCCGCTCTGTCCCTGGTGATCTGCAGGCCAAGGTAGTGCTGAAGTTCACCGAGATCAGTGCACGTGTGTCTCTTTTGCAGTTCGGATTTCACCTCAGCCAGAGCTGCCCTGTCTGCTGTAGCAAACACCAGGTCATTAACGTAGACCAGTATAAAGAACGGAGTGGAGCCAGCGCGAACAAACAGCAACGGATCAGCAGAGGAGGGACGAAAACCAAGGTCACGAAGCATGGAGCGATGAGTGTCGTGCTACTCACGGGGCGACTGGCGGAGACCGTAGAGTGGTCGCCTCAGGCTCCACTAGGTCCCAGGTGGGAAGGTGTTAGTGAAGCCAGGAGGACGTCACAGACAGATCTCCTCGTGTAGGCGGCCCTGGAGGAACGCAGTGGAGAGTCGAGAGAGTGCAGCTGTGCTGCTACGTGCAGTAACACCCGAAGAGTCGTCATCTTCGGGGTCGGGGCGAAGGTCTGGAAGAAGTCAACTCCCTTACGCTGAATGAAGCCCCTAGCCATATAGCGCGCCTTGAACACAGGTGGTGATCCAGGCGGCCGCTTCACCTTGAAGAGCCACATGCCATCGACAACGTTCGCCCTGGGAGAAGGAACTGTGTCGACGTAGGTGCCTGTGGATCTCCAAGAAGCCAACTCTGAGTCCATGGCCGCTTTCTACTGAGAGGGCCACTCCCCTGACACTGCCTCACAGTACGTGCGAGGAGTCGGTATGTCAAGGGCGTCGGGGTCTCCCTCAGGGGAAAGCAGCATGGCACAGAGAGAGGGAGAAGCGGCTGCCATGAACTTCAGCTCAGATTGCCTGTCCTCAAAGACGTCACAACCAAGGGCAAACTCATTTCCGGCGGACAGAGGATGGGCAGGCGGGGCAGCCACGACACGCGTGGTGAAGTCAAGGCGGCGAGTGGAAGCAAAGTCAGCGACAGCGGCAATAAGAGCCGAAACGGACGACGAAGTGGCACGAGGGTCGATGATAAGAGAGGCGAGAACACGCGAGACAACAGGACGAGCAATACGGTAGTAGTCAGTGATAGGGTGAGAGGAGACAGTGAGAGACGATGCAGGAGGTGACGGGAGAACAGTCACAGGCGGAGCACGACGATGACTAGAACGAAACAAGACAGTGCGGAGGTCGGGAGAAGGAGACAAGGGACGAGAACACGGAGGACAACGAGCGGTCCAGTCGTGCGGGAGAACAGGATGAGGCGACTGTAACTGAGGAGGAGGGAAGACAGCCGAAGCCGAGTCCGGAGGAGGAAACGTAGGACTGTACGCGGTAGGAGACTGTGAGCGGACAGGAGGAGAGGAGGGAAGACCAAGGGCCCGAAGGCCACTCACTGGTGGGAACAAGGGCTGCTGCGGCTGCTGCTGCTGAAGCTGCTGCTCCTGCTGGTCCAACTTCCTCAGCTCCTGCCTCTCCTGCTCCAACCGCTCCTGCTCCTCGCGCTCAAGTCGGCGAAGAGCTTGGAGACGTGTGTCGTAGCGGTGGGGAGGCGCAGTGGGCGACACATTAGTCATGCCGCCAGCTCCAGTTTCCTCAGTACTAGCACCTCCAACGCCAGCACCTCCGGCTCCAGCACCCCCAGAACTAGCACCTCCAGTGCCAGCACCTCCAGCTCCAACACCCCGAGAACTAGCACCTCCAGTGCCAGCACCTCCATCTCCAGCACCTCTCGAACGAGCGCCCCCAGACCAAGTACCTCCAGTGGCAACACCTCCAGCTCCAACACCACCTGAGTCCACAGTAACCTGTTGCGGAAGTGCCGAAGGCTGGTGAGGGGAATGTGAGGAGGACTGCGGGGAGGGAGACGCTACCTGACGCGCGACCGAGGGTGGAGGGGTGGCGTGAGACACACCTGACGGGGCAGGACCAGGGGGGGACGGGGGTACCGGAGGAGCGGGAGCAGGAGGAGGAGAGGGTGCGAGGAAAAGAGGAGGAGGGGGGACCGGGAGACCTCGACAGGGGTACCGGGTGTAGTAGGACATACACTCGTCAAACCGGACATCACGGGAGTCGAGGAAACGGTGGAGGGGCGAAACGAAAACTCAGGAGAGTCCACTAGGAAACCAAGGAAGACATAGGGGATGGCGCGAGCCGAGAGCTTATCCGCAGAGGTGTCGCGGACAAGCGCAAGGCAGCCCCAGATGTGAAACTCCGACGCAACACCAGGGGACTTGGTCCAAAGACTGGTCGGTGAATCCCCTGGTCGTGAGACACGAGGCCAGAGGTTCAGCTGGTGGGCGGCGTAGCGAACCGAGTAGGGTTACAGAAAATGGGGCGCACGGGCATGGATCATGGAGGTGCGGGCGATCTCCATGACCAGGCCAATGCGGCGCTCAGCAACTTCATCCTGCTGTGGGGACACCGGAAGCGTCCAGGACTGGGTGATGCCCTGCTCGCCACAGAACCCGGCAAGTGTGCCGGAGCGGAAATTGCGGAGATAACTCTAGCAACGGGAGCTGGTCTACGGGCTAGGCACGGGGTGGGAGTGATCTCTGCGTTCGTTCCTTAGTCGTTTTCCTTGTGTGCTCACTACTAGCTAGTTCACGGGGAAGATTGGCAAGAGTTTCACTTGGAAAGGTTGACAACAATGGTAGCAACAACATTGGCAAGGCAGACTACATCAGAGCTAGCAAGCAAGCTGGTCGACTGCCAGCGCAGCACGGTCGACCACGTTCCAGCACGACCTGGTCGACCGCGCTCCAGCAGAGCAAAGTCGCGGTCTGCCAATGCTGCATGTCGACGGTGTGCCAACGCTGCAACGTTGCAACGCTTCGCAGGTGCTCGCAGTTGATTGGCGTCCCGTGCCCTGTCACGTGCACATCGCAGACGCCAAGCCGACCACCTGCACCTGATCCTCCACGTCGACCTCGAGATACCA